ATCAATCCATGACGTCACAAGATTCCACACGTCTCTATTTGATGGCTCGACACGTTGATGGAAAGCAGCGAAAGTAAAAACACCCCCTACCCAGCCAAACTGCGCCCAAATGAATTTCATTTCTGTAGTTACTATGTGGTCTTTGAGGGACGCAAAACCCTGTCAGAACCCTTCCAGAAAAGCGCTCCGCGACCTGAAAACACACTTTGTAGGGACGGCGCATTTCGGCGCGGGAGACGGGGGGAGGGGGGAGAGGGGAGCGTGGGCGTTATGCCCTTTTGCTACTTCGCTAGTTACGGTTTACACATCTCGCTCTTGTGAAGCTGGAGCAAGCTCGTCGAGCCACCATGGTAAAACCTGTTAACTCTTGTTAGCTCTTGAAGTAGCTTATGAAATGAACTTCATCATGAATTTACAAGTGTTGACAGGTATTTTTTATAAGAGTTGACAGGCGTCTAAACTATGGTTGATATAATTTCATGGCTTCACAAGCATTCACAGGTCTCCACTGGATGGCTCGACACGTTGATGGGAAGTAGTAAAGGTGCAAAATGCCGCTCCCCCCAAATCGCCGAAGTGCGCCAGTGCTTGATAACCTGCGGGGCACTCCTTGTGGGGCGGCAACTTCCTCCTTCGTGGACTCTATCGGCTGTCGGCCATAGAGAGCAGAGTTGATCGACTTTCTCGGTAGGAGCCGTTCAAAAATGCTCTTTCACGAGTTGTCATTGTTTTTTGGCTCATTTATTTGTCTTATTATTTATTTCTTTGAAAAATCGCAATTTTTTTGCAATATGCCAATATTTCCAGCGACATGATTCTAAAGTGAATCGATTCCATGAAAAACGTGAATGGAATTCGCTGTGGCGCTTTGTGATGGTTATCCACTTGTGTGTGCTTAGGGTATAACGATCAATAGTGTACCCCCCACGCAGCAATCAATACTGCCACTTGTTCAAATGTTTTCGTTCTTCCCCGTTTGAAGTTCAAGAAACATGACGGTAACATGAATTTGACAAGAAAATTCGTGTTTCCAGATGACGTGGCGGTGATGTGGATCAGCTATATAAACCAATTTCCGAGTAAAAATGGTTTTTTCTACAACGATGAAGTTGTTACTGGTTATTCTCGTCCTTGCCATTTCCACTGCCCTGACGGACGACAACGTGCAGGCAGAGGAAGTTGCCAAAAACCAATCCGAGCAGAATGTCACCAATGAGAAGGACGCCCAAGCCGACGAAGCAAGTGCCGCCAAAGATGAAGCAGTGACTTTTGAAAAATTTAAAAATGAAATGATCACATATCAAGATGCAGAAAAGATGGTCGAGGTCAGTGAACATTCTTTCCCCATACCATTTTTTGGATTTTTTTGCTCCCAAATGTTTCAGAGTGGAAAACATTTCATGGTCGCTGTTGTGGCTGAACCTGGTAAAATGTCCCTTGAATACTTGAAAAAACTACCAGATTTGAATAAAGGACTTGAAGAATACGACAAAAATTTCAAGATCTACGCGGTTAGTTTGAAGATGGATCTATCTCATCATTTGTACAGTCTTCTTCGCTGCGGATGATGGGCGCGGCTGCTTCTGGGACGTAGCCAGCTCGTTTTCCACCAGTTGCTGAAGAGGGTGAGTTACAACAAATGGTGGGAAACGGCTAATATGAATGGTATGATACAGTATTGTCCGCTTGCCGAAAAAAAACACAGGTTGACGCCGCGGCAAACGCAGCCACGCTGCCACGCCCCACCATCCGCAATGAACAAGGCCATAATCTTTTGATTTAGAGATTTTTTTATCAATTTTTTCGCTACTCTGTGAACTTTTTTCGAGTAGAAAGCTGCGCAACCTTTGAGTGATTCCGGTCTTAGGTCATATCCGTAGCCGGGGGCAGGCGTGACCAACCAGTCAAGGAGGTTGTGCTCACGCTGAATCGTCTTTGATTGGCTGGCCATAACGCAGTGCATCACGTAAACTCCTTCAATATGCCCCCTCCCGCTCCCCTTAATCCCAACTTTGTCCAACTACCTATCCTCACAGAGCCCGCATTGTGTACCACGTTTTGGGAGAAAATTAAATGAGGACAGGGTAGTTGGTGAAAAGGACAAATGCGTATCGATTGGTTCTACTGCCTCTAGGTAGAGGATCGTTTCAAATGGTATGGTCCACATAGGATCCCCACAAAGAGGGGTTTGTATTATGTCGCTGAGGGAGGGGTCATATATAGTACTGGAGGGAGGTGGTTATAGTTCGTCACTGGAGGGGGAATAGCCATATTTGCTTGGCAAATGTTTCCGGTTGTTGACCTTCGCTCGATTTTTCCCGTTTTACGTGCACTTTATATGTCTGCCCGCTCAGCGGTCAGGTGCTTGGAGAA